GCAGGAGAGCAACTGCCTGGAATGTTGTAGGCAGACAGGGAATCTCCAGACTGTCCTTGGCAAGCAGGCAGGGAATGTTTGGGAGGGTGGTTTATCCTGCAGATAAGGGTGGAAGAGGGGTGTGAGTGCTGGCTGAGCCCTATACACTCCTCAGGAGACTAGGGTAACAGTTACTAAGCCTCACTGGTGGGCACTGGGACGGGGCTAAGTCCCTAGTGGCCTTGGTCCAGGAGGCAGTTTCCGGAGCCTGGAGGTGGCCAGGTTGCAGGGTGGGAGGATACGTGGCAGGTGAGGGTGTGAGGCAGCAAATGTGGAGGCCTGTGAGGACAGTTGCAGAAGCAGTCAGACCAGGAAGCAGGCAGAGGGACACCTGAATTTGAGAAAGCCCAGACACAGGACCCCAGGACCAGGTGGAGGAAGTTTAGCAGGTAAGGTTAGACCCAAGTGCCCAGAGGAATTTGTGGGGAGAGGAGATGAGATCTGAAAATTAAGAAGCTGGCTACTTCTCCAGCCCTCTTTGCTTGAGGCCCGGAGCCTGACCTCACCTTGTGATAAACCTCGGGTGGCGAGGTGACTAAGGTGGGACAGAAGGAGGTGACTCCGTGCGACAGGATCCTCTGGGCCACCAGGGCGACTCCCGAACCCACATCCTCTGTGGCCTGAGAGAAGTCAATGCCAAACCCACCTGTGGCCACAGAAAAGAGGGGGTCGCACTGTGCTCAGAGCTCCTCCCCTCGGTCTCCACACCCAGGCCCTAGACCACACCATTGATCTGCACATCAATGAAGCCGGGCGCCAGGATGCAGCCCCTGCAGTCCCGCTGTTGGTCGGCCACGACCCGCTCCTCAAAGAACAGCTTCTCTGGGTCCAGAATGCGGCCCTCGCGCACCCACAGATCCTCCCTGCAGACAGACGGGTAGGGGCTCGGGTCACCGGCCCAGCGCCCTGCCCCCAAACAGCGTCCACCATTGCCAGGCCCGCACCCACCGGCCCCACACATCACCTGAGCAGCCTCTGGCCCCGCAGGATGCGGCAGTTGGTGAACTGGAGCACCGGGGCCCGCGCAGAGCCTTTCCCTTTGCGCATCTTGAGCTGCTTACGGGAGTTGAGCTGCGGGAGCCGGAAGCCCCGCAGCCCTAGCCTTGCATAGAGCACGGCCCTGCCCACATGACCCTCAGCTGACTAAGGCGGCGCCACGTGATCAGCGTGCCCACGTGACCCAGGCGTCCACATGACCACACCCCCACCGTCCTCACTGAGACCTAAGAGCCCGCCCCTTCCCCCTAGCCCACACAGGCGCTGCACACAGACGTCCAGTCACATCCGAGAATTTTATTGGACACGTTTCCAGGCCTCGGAGGCCCAGCTCACGATCCCGCAGCCAAGGCTGGAGGACGGTGGTTCCATACAAAGTCTCAGGGCACACGGTAACCCCACAAAGCGACACTCTAAGATTACTATAGTTGGGAGACGGGAGGGCTGCTCCACAGACGTGCGAACAGGTCAAATCTTTATAAATAAACATCCAGTGAAAATGACATCTCGAATTCACCCTTATACACAGAGCACTCTAGGGCAGGTAAATGGGTGGGGTGGCCAGAAGCCAGCATCCTCACTGGTTGGGGGGCCTGGATGGGTGATGAGTGGGCCCAGATGTCCACGGCACGGGGCGGGTGGGGGCAACACACGATGGGCACTAGGACACTGCGCATTTACAAGACCAACTACTTGGGGGGGGGGGGCAACTGCCCCGAGCATGTGTGTCAGGCTGTTCATTCTGGAATGAGGAGGGGATGGTCTTTACATCATATTCTGTGGCTGGTGGGCGTGGAGAGGGGCTACTTTGTGGAGAGGATGAGGGCGACGATGAGACCGTAGAGACCCAGCACCTCTGCGAAGATGAGGATCAAGATCATGCCCACGAATAGTCGGGGCTGCTGGGCAGTGCCCCGCACGCCGGCGTCACCCACGATGCCAATAGCAAAGCCAGCTGCCAGCCCACTGAGGCCCACACTCAGGCCAGCGCCCAGTTGGAGGAAACTCCTGGGGGAGAGAGGACACAGGATAGACATTAGCTGCCTGCTGGAAAAGATGGTGGGCACAGGCCACTAACCAAATGCCCACTCCCCAGCCCTCAGACCTGTGCAGTGGCCTGACCCAGGGCAGGGCGGGTGTGGTGAGAAGAACCCAGCACTCACCTGTAGAGACTGATGCCTTCACTGAGAGAGTTAGCGATAAGGACTGCCACAACCAGGCCATAGATGGCAATAATGCCAGCCATGACCACTGGGATGATGGACTTCATGATCAGCTCTGGCCGCATGACCGACATGGCCGCAATGCCGGTGCCACTCTTCGCTGTACCATAGGCAGCACCCAGGGCTGTTGGGGAGGGGAGGCAAAGTGAATCCAGAGCATCTGGAGCCAGAACCTTGGGGGTAGCTCTGACACAGTTGAGGGCCACCCCATTATCACAAGCAAGGGGGAGATGAAGGTGGCACTCAGTCAGGGGCAGGTGGTGGCCCTCAGGGGAAATGGTCATAGCTGAGCACGCAAGGAACCCAAGTAACTGTTCCTTTCTTCTACCAGAGGTCCTTATGGCTGTGTGGTCTCTCTGGGCTCCTGCTCTGCTAGGAAACCCCCAACCGTGCTCACCAGCATTCCCCAATCCTACTATACTCCCATACTCCCAAGGAGTTCAGCTCAGCTGCCCCCAACCTAAAAGGTGGAGCTGTAACAGGCTGGCAGCAGTCACACAGGGAAACAGGCAGCTGAGCCCCTGGTGCCTTGCTGGAGAATCCGAACACCTTTTGTCCCACCTAGAGTCCCAGGCACTCAGGCCACATTAGGCCTGGAAAAGCATGAAATGATTGCCCATCAGCAGCACAGATGTTAGGCCAGGGTCAGCCTGCTGGCCTTGGGGCTATGCCCAGGGACAAGCTGGAAGACCCGAACTGCACACTGGGTCTAACCATTGTGGGTCAGGGGAAGCAGCCTGGTTCAGTTCTCTCAGGCCAATTTCCCTAACTCCCCAACCTGCCCACCAAACTCCCCACCACTCCCAGCCCTGGGACACACTGCTGGGAGGGCTGGCATCTGTGTTGATGGGGCGAGCACACCCTCAGCTACTCAGGAGACCTAGACTCTTGAGTTTGGAGAGTCCTCTTAAACCAGAGAAGAAAAAGGGGGAGCCAAGGAGAAGACAGGGCACAGGAAGACAAGGGGGCTGTGGAGCCATCACCCAACCCAACTGTGAGGCCTCAGCAAACCTCCCAGAAGCCTAGCTTCTGCCGGAAACCTCCAGTAATGGGCGGCAGTGGGGGGAGGGGCTCTAAGAGGCCCGTCTCCTTTATGCTGCCCTCCTCCCTCTTCCTAGGGTATGCTGCCTTCCTGAAAGTTCCCCTCCTCTGCCTTGGAAGTCTAGAGTAACTTTTGCCCAGAACAGAGAGCCACAGAGGGTCAAGGCAGTTGTTCTGACTCCAGCCACCTGCTCTCCAGGGCTCCACCGTGCTTTTTGAGCAGAGGACAACATGGGTTGGATATGGAAGGGACCAAGACAATCCTGGCTATTCCTCTGCACATTTTATTCAGCTATTTGGGCCACAAAGTACCTACTCTGCTCATTACCGAGCAGGGGTGAGTTCAGAGGGGTGCTGCCTTCCCAGGGCTCTAAACTTAGTGAGGAGACAGATGCAGCACAGTGATATGTTCCAGGAGAGTGGGGAGGGTAGTGGTGGGATCTGGAAAAGGGCTTCGTAGAGGTGACATGAGTGGAGGGGTGACAGTGAATAGGAAGATTCCAAACAGCCTGAATGGAGATGCTAGCCTAGATGGTGCTGAATGGGGAGCTACTGGAGAGGAAGAGGCAAGGAAGGGTGGGGACAGAGGGACCTGCACTACCCCCTCCCCATGGTCCCAGAGGCACCTCAACACTGCCTTGCCTAGACATTCAGCAGCTTCAGCCTGGAGCTCAGGGTTTCTGTCTTCATGAAGACTCTGCTGGTTGCAGTGCATTCTTTGGGCTCCGACTACAGGCCCAGCACACTGGACTGTCACATATGTGTGAGGGGCCAGTGCCACAGCTCACTACTCAAGGAGGAAAGCACAGGCTGCCACATGGCACTGAGTGGGGGACTGTTTCAGGGAACTCAGCATCATAGGCATTGGGACACCGCAAGGGGCATGAAGTGAGCTGGGGCCCTTCTCTCAGAGGGCAGCAGAGAGATCATGTGGCTGAGGCTGGGGTGGCAACAAGAGAAACAAAGGGAAGAAGCAGGGGTGACCATCAGGAGAGAAAAGCAGTCTGTCTGGGCAGCAGCAGGTGTGTGAGAAAGCCCTGGGTGCTAGCTCTGAAGGCCGAGCCCGACGAGGCTCCGGATCCAATGGGAGACAGGGAGACTGCGATCAGATGGCAGTTCCAGGAACACAGCACCAAACACTGGGTGCCCACCAGCAGGGAGGAAGTCACAGAAAATATGGAAAAGGAACAAGTGACAGCTTTCTGGACATGATGAAGAAAGAATCGACAGGACTTTTGTCACAAGTTAAGAAAAAAAGGGAAGCTGAAATGGGAGATGGAGATTGGGGAGGCCTGAGAGTGAGTGGGCCTCTTTCAGTTGTAAGACCAATCAGCAAAGCACTAGGCAGGCCAGGGGATATCTAGGCCAGGAGCTGGGGACAGAGCTTGGAGTCAGCCAGGCAGCAACACCTGAGGCCTGAGCACTGAGGGGCTTGTTCACACAGGCACAAGGAGGTAGATGAAGACAAGCCTTAAAGAAAGACATATTTAAAGGGAGAAATGAAATAAAAAGTCAACCACATTAAGCCCCATGTAGGGAAGGGAGCAGGAGTGAAGCTGCATTCACACCAACAGGAATGAATGGCCTCAATCCCCAGGAGCCTGGGACAAACAAAAAGGCCCTGGACCACTGCTATCCTGTTCTCAGTAACTTTCGGACACCTGCTGGTCTGGCTCCATCCGAAAGTACCAAGTAAGTTCTAGAAGGAGAAGAGATGTACATGGTAACTAGAGGGAGACCAAGAGCTGGGTACAGATAAAGGGCTCAATAGGCAAAGTCAGCTTCAGGAGCAAACAGTGACAGCCAGAATCCCATGTGCGCAGGCATCGTGTTTTGTTCACTGATGTCTCCAAGTGCTTGGCACATAGCAGGAGCTCAATCAAGACTTGTTGAATGAATAAATGAGCCACAAGCAGCACCCCAAGGAGGCCAGGCAAAGCAGAATCCCTGGAGGCAAAGCACAGAAAAGGCTGGGGGAGGGGGCACACAGCCTGATGGGAGGCCCTAGAAAGCAGTCTGCCCCTGAAGATGTGGAAAGAGCAAGCACTGCCTAGGAGGGAAGGGGAAGTTCAGACTTCTCCCACCACAAACGACCTCTTACTCACACATGATGGGAAGGGCAGGGCTCACTCAGCAGCTCGTGACTGGCAGGCAGGCTGAGGGAGAGGGAGGCCACCAGGAGAGCAGAGCCCCCCATGTCCCCACCTCACAAGTGTTTACAGTCAGCAGAGACTGTTTGGAGTGCAAACCCTCCAGTACTTGCATAGGGAGCCTCCCAATTCACCAGGCAGGGCGGGGCAGGGTGTGGTCACCAAAGCCAAAAACCAGACCCAGACCAGGCCAGACCAGTCCATGGGGGCTGCATCTGGGCCAAGACTCACCTCCCTGGGTTACACATTCCTGAGCCTGGTCCAAATTTCTTTCTCCCAGGTAGATCAATTTTCACTAAATTCGACACCCAAGGACTGTCAAAACCCAACTTCAAAAGCAGGGTGACATAAAGAAGGCCCCTTTCTCCCTACCTAGGGCAGCCCCTCCCAATACTAGACCTAATGGAAAGGAAGGTTATTCATTCATTCATTTTCATTCATTGGGACCTGAACTAGAAAACTATCCTAAGGAAAAAGGCCCAATCCCCTCATTGCTGAGGCTCTGTGCGACCCTCTCCCCTACCCCAAAGCAGAATCTCAGCAAGCGTCCACACAACACAGCGCTGATGCTGGCCAGACTCCCTTGGTCCTCGGCCTGTCTGATCCCCACCTCAATTCCCAACACTCCCATCCTTGGGTCTCTGCTGGCTTTCAGGACCAACTTCTCGGCCCAGTTTTCCCAACAAACCCACACAGGGCTATTGGGAAACAGGGACAAGC